GGCTTTAATTACCCTTATCAAAATTATGGAGAGCTTGCTTAAGTAAACATTGCCCCTTAATGTTCCACGGCCCATCTGGAAGCAGGAGTCAGCCTGCATGCAGCATCAAGGCCCAGGACATGCCTTTTGGGGAGCACTGCTCCAGCCCACACAGTGTGCTGAGAGCTGAGACAGAGGCAAGCAGTGAGGTAGCTGCCTCCACCTCAGCTTCCTGCCACATCCCTTGAGCCCCAGGAGGACAGACCGGGGCTCACAGGGTGGGTGCCCAGGGACAGTTGTTACCCACAGCATACAGCTGGTAAAGTCCCCTCTGGCTGCTGGGCTCGAGACAAGGGCCGAGGGCATGGAGGGGATGCCCTGGCTGGGCACTCCGCTGTCCCTGTCCGCTCTGCTAATCTGCAGAGCTCCTGACCCATGGCTACACCCACCTGGCTGTGAGCCCCACAGTCCTGGGTGGGGGGAGAACACCCTCCTGTCCCACACAGGTGGGACGCCAGTGATGGGAAGAGCCAGCAGACTCCAGCAGCCTCACACAGCCATGAATCAGAGCCCGAACTGGAACAGACCTGAGAGAAACAAACATGTAGAATCTGGTCTGCAGCCCTCGCTCTGCCTCTCTTGGATCAGAGCTGTTGCCCTTGGTACCTGGGAAGCACAGGCTTTTGTTGCCTGACCGGCTTTCAACAACATGACTGCGCTTGAGTGACATGATCCTGGTGGAAGTCCTCCCACAGAAACCATGGTGCAACCTTCCACCTTTTACTTGGATTTTAATTGCCATCTTCAAATCTACCCTAAATGCCAAGGAGAGATCATGCCAGTGCTTTGCCCCCAGTTTGCCAAATACAAAGCTATAATTAAATTTTAACTCACAAATAAATTATTCATATTTTTCAACCATGCATGATAAATTACTTTAAGCCAAAAGCAACAACAACAAAAAATGGGTTTAATTATGGCAGATAAACATGATCCTGCCCTGGGAACAGACAATTGATTGAGTGATACTGAAGGTAAGAATATTGTCTTTAATTACTCTACTGCACTAAGGGCTGCCCCAAAGTACGTCATTTCTCCCTCATGAAAGCCTGTCTAAAAATAAAAACAGAGATAAGCTTCTGAACTTAGTGTTCCTCCATTTCCCTTTGCATGAAACTTCATCCCTGGAAAGAGAAGGAGTTGAAATCTAGCAATGTCCCATCCAGTACATGGCCTCTTTATTTTGGGCAGCTGACATTAGGAGGGGTCGAGGTAGGACAAGACCACCCCCCTGTGTGGCCTCCCTTCTCCTCACCCCACCCAGGAGAAGGGTTGCTCTGGTGGGAGACGGTCGCTTTGTGAGGTTCTGTCCTGTCTTGGGGCAGCAGTGCAGCCCCCGCAGCCCCTCAGTGGTGCAACAGCAGCCTTTAGCCAGAGACATCACACAGTTTTCCTGGGAGGAAAGGTTGGATGATGGGAACAAACCTACTTGAGCTGAACTACTGCTCCTTCCCCACCTCCCCAGGACCTTCCCTAGGCGCTGCCTTAGCAGGGTGGGGACAAAGGGACAACAAGACCTGAGGGAACATTCACAGGATGCTTGCAGGGTTCAGCCTGGCTATAACCACATCAGACACCAGGTCTTCCACCAGCCTGGGTTCTGCAGCCCTTGTTCTGGAGACCTGCCTGTCACCAGACCTAAGCCTCCAGCTTCATCCACCACCATTGCTGCCTCCTGATCCATCTGTCACCTGAAGGGACACTGAGCCACCAAGGCAGGTCTGTGCTGGATATAGGGAGCTCAGAGGAGGCATTTTTGCACAGTGGGGTGACATGCTGGCTGGAGCTGTGTGTAGGCACAGCTGGAGAAGGGGCAAACAACAGCAGGCAGCTGGATTCAGCCCTTCCCTGCTGCCCAGGCACGCACACACAGCAGCAGGCAGAGCCTGCCTAGCCGTGCAGCTCCTGTCGGCTCATCACCGGCACACGTTGGCCAGCCACTCAGCTCTCCCTCATGAAAACTCTGGCTGGAAAGAGTTTCCCCTGGGAAGTGGAGCTGCAGCTGGGAGCAGCCGTGAGCAGCTCCAGGGAAGAAAGCAGATGGCCAGCACCACCGCAGGGCCAGTGGCAAGCAGCCTGGCCACTGCTGAGCTGATCTGGTGCCCTGTGCTGAGACACAGCTAGTGAGGGCCATCTCATCCCTGTCCTTTTTCCTGTCGTCACACCCATCTCCACCCCTGCTCCAACCCTTGAAGCTGCTCCAAGCCCACGGCAGGATCCTGCTCCCATGCCAGCACTCACCCCAACCCAGAGTCTGGACCCCCTTGGGGACATGGCACTGGGGATGGGCTCTACAGCCCCTCGGGCTGGGGCAGGGGCAGCATGGCAGGGCACCACAGCTCAGGCACATTCAGTTAATGCCAGGGCTGTATCTACGCCCCACTGCCACCCAGGGCTGCCAGGAGTTTCTGGGCTCCCACCGTGCAGCAGCCCCAGCCCTGCCCTCCCCTGCGCAGTGTTCGCCTATGCTTAATAATATTTTCACGACTGTTTTAGCCCCACGTTCTGGGAATCTCAGGGGATGTTTGTGCATGACATCACCCTCCCCCTCCCGTAAATCAGGCACTGGGCCATGCGTAGCCATGACCCATTCATGACAGGGATAAAATCCAGATGTTCCAGTGCTACGTGCAACTGGTAATTTCCTTTTTTGGCTAAAAACGTGAGGCTCTTGAGGCTGACTGAAAGAGGAGCCCGGGGGCCCTTTGTACAGAAACCTTCTGTGGTTAATCCCTGGCGCTGCAGGAACAAGGGCTCAGCTGGGAGCCTCTGGCTGGAACCGCTCACTCACCCTTTGAAGCCGAGCAGCAGCAAAACCGGAGCCTGGCGCAGGTCACAAGGCAGCAAGGCAACCAAAGACGTACTTTACTAACCCCATTAGGTGCCAGAGCAGGAGCCTTTGAGGAGCCTGGGACGTGGCCGCGCAAAGCCAGCCCGTGCCGTGTCCCAGCAGGGCTGTGCTCGTCCTGCCGTAGCAGCGTCCACAGGAGCCAATCTCCCGCGCATGGGGAATGGAGCGGGGTGCTGGGGCAGGCAAGCCCTAGAGGAGCTCGTGACAGCTGTTAGCAAACGTAAAGGAATCTGTGAAAAGCAATTTCAGATGTGAGGGGAATGAATGGCTCCCCAGATGATAACAGTGAGTAATGAGCATGCGCCGCTGCGGGGAATGCCGCCAGGAAGAGACCACCGTTACCCCGGCTGGAGACCAGCAGTCCTCCTCGCAAGAGCCAGGGAGCACGTACCACAAAGGGAGGAAGCTTTTCC